GCTCCACGACGCCCAAGATGGCCTCCGGACGGCCCAAGACGTCTCCAAGATGGCCCAAGAAGCCTCCAAGATGCCCCAAGAGGCCTCCAAGAGAACTCCCAAGAGGGCCACAAGAGGTAAAAAAACATGTTTTTCCTTTGGTTTTGGACAGATTTTGGCGTTTTAACCTTGTCGGTTCCCCGACGCCCCTAAACGGCTCAAGAGGCTTCCAAGAATGGGCCGGCGGAATGAGCGAAGCGATTAAATAATAACTTTAGCTCGCAGCGTTGTAATTCCAAGAAAGGCGTTGTGGTGCGATTCAGAATGATCGAACGGTTGTCTTCTAACGGGGTATTCCCAAGGCACTTCCCGCGATGAGGGAATTTGGAGGGAGGACTTACTGCAACACGATTTATGAGTCTTGAGTTTGCACTGGTCCTCCCCCTCCTCCTCCGATGTCTCCTCCATCCTCCACATCTGGGGATATGACGGCTTCAACAGCCCCGTATTTTCCACTGCATGCTCCCCCACACCCCTGATCAAAACAAGTCGCCTAGGCATCGCTGCTGGATGAGGTGGTGAATGTCCGCGAAGCGCTTACCATATGGACCGCATCACAAACGGCAACCTTAACGTCGTCAACATCTTGGTTGGCGTCATCGTCATAATCATTGTCATGATCATCCCCGCCATGATCATCACCACGATTACCACCGCCATCACTGGCCATTACCAACGCGAAACGGTACCAAAAAAAACGATTGCCCAGAAACAAACACACAACACCCACAAACCCATACACGAAGCACTCAAACACACACACACACACCGTCCACCCGGCTTCCCGCCAACCCAATGCAGACCCCGAACGCACACGGTATACTCCTCTGTCCTGCCCGCCCCGCACACAACCTGTGCACACGAGAAGAAACACGCACGCACGCGCACACGTGGCGCAGAGCCAAGCACACGCGTGCACACACGCGTGGTGGACCAGCACGGCAGACCACAACGGCACGGCAGACCAGCACGGCCGACCACAACAGCACGGCAAACCAGCACGGCCGACCACGGCATTCAGCTCGGCAGGCCACAGGATCACGACATACCAGCACTGCAGATCATAGCAACGACACGACAGAGCAACACGGGAGACGAGCATGATGGAAAATGCGGCGCTTATCGCCCATGCCAAACCAAGTTCTCCGTATCGCTATGGCCATCCCCGCCAAAATGAAAGCGTTAAGGAACAATGTATCGTCAAATCGACCGTTTCGCGTGAGACATCCTAGACACGCTGGGAAGCCGCGAATTGAGTAGATCTTGACAACAGCGCGGTTCACCGATGCCACCCACCCAAAAACAGGGATGGTCAAAGAGCTGTGGTAATTACGCTTATGTGACAACGACACTCTCGCTGCATGCATCGTCAGAACTCGGAGATGCCCAGGAAGTTTGGGAATATGACGCAGACGCAGGACTGAGGCTCTCGCCTGAGATATCCTGACACAACATTGTATGTTGACAGGTCTGATGTAGAATATACTATGACGATTCCTCTTCGAGGGCCTCCTGCTCAGGCGAAAGTATTGAAACACACGGCCTCCCATACTAATACTCGGAAGCAATCGCTTCGATTCGGGGGTTTTGGACAGATTACCTCAGACGGGTCTTCGAAAGCATGCAAGTCGCAGCATCATCGGCACATCGTCGTCAGCATCATCGTCGTCGTCGACGTCACCATATTCACGGTCATGGTCATCCCCTTCATCATCACCAGCATCGTTTTGGCCCCAGTCTTCGTTTTAGTCTTCATTGCCATCGTCATTGCACACCATACGGGTGAACATTACAGTTCATGTAACGCACATAACTCAACGCACAACTCAAATACTCAAATGCCCAGAAGCACACACCACGCACCATATAAATATATGCATGTATCTACATACACATACAACACGTGCATCCCCCTTCCCGCCCACTCGGTACACACCACGTATACACTACACTCCTCCGTCCCCTGTCCAGCCCGCCCCGCACACACCCTGCACACACGCGCGGAAACACGCACGCACATACGCACAATCTCCAACACACGTGTACATACACGCACGGTAAACCAGCACGGCGAACCACAGCAGCGAACGGCAAACCTTACGAGCACGGCAGACTAGCACGGCACAACATAGCAAAACGGCAGTGTCACTGTGGCATACCATTGCATGGCATACCATCATACCAGCATGCCAAACCACAGGAGCACGACAGACCAGCATGGCAGATCACAGCAGGACAGCACCAAGGCGGCAGACTACAGCAGCACGGCAGAAAAGCAGACCGAAACAACATTGCAGACATCAACGGTATGGGAGACCATAAGAACACGGCAGACCACAACAACACGGCAATCATAGGAGCACGGCATATCAGCATGGCACACCGCAGGATCACGAAGACAAGCACAGCAGAACACAAAGGCACAGAAACTGCACGGCAGACCAGCATGGCAGACCACAGACACACGGCAGAGCATCACAGCAGACCACAGCAGCACGGCAAACCAGCACGGCAGACCATACCTAGTATGTTCCATTGTGGGGGCAAAACATGAAGCATTCACGCCCACCCACAGCGCGGATACATACTCTGAAATGTTGTCTCCGCGCTGTGTCGGGCACGCCTGGCAGAGGTGAGTGACTACATACATTGTCATCCTCCTCCGTCCTCCTCCTCCCTCCTCCGCTCGCCCTCTTCCTCCCTCTTCAATCTTTTCATCTCCAGCATTCCTATGCACATCCTCATTATCCCCCTCCGCATCATGAATTCCCTCACCATCATCATCCTCAATTCCTCCTCATCTTCATCCTATCCGTTACTTTTCCTCCTCCTCCTCACCTCCGTCCTGCTCAGTCCTGCCACTCCTGGTCACCCGTCGTGTTATGCCTCTTCGTCTTTTGCGTGCGTTGCTGCTTCGAGCTGCTTCTCTGGCCGCCATCGTCGCCGCCGACTCGCCGCCGCGCCGCGTCGCCATCGCCGCCCGTCGTCGCCGCCGAGTCGTAGCCGTCGTAGCCGCACCACCGTCGACGTCATCGTCGACGCCGCGTACGCCGTCGCCCATCGTCTCATCGCCCCTTCGCCTCGTCTCATCGTCTCATCGCCCCTTCGCCGCCGTCTCATCTCATCGCCCCTTTGCCGCCGTCTCATCGTCTAATCAACGCTTCATCGTCTCATCGTCTCATCGCTCATCGCCCCTTCGCCGCCGTCGTCGCTGCCGATTCGACGCCGCGCCGCCGCCATCGTCCACGAGAGGCTGGCCGGCCGTCGTCAGCACCGGCGGTGGGGCCGTCGCCGCCAGGAGGAGGAAAAGGAGAATGAGGAGGAGGAGGAGGAGGAGAGGAGGAGGAGGAGGAGGAGATAGGGGAGGCCCAAGGGAGGAGGAGGAGGAGGAGGAGGAGGAGGAGAAGGAGGAGGAGGAGGGCCGCCATCATCATCGCCGCCGGCCGCCGCGTTCTCGGCGCAACGCGGCAACGCGTGGCGCGCGGGGCAGCCCCCTGCCAGCGCGTCCACGGCGCCGCTCCTAGCGTCGGGGCAGGGCCAGGGCTGAGAGGAGGGGTGATGACTCGGATGACGATGGAGACTCTGAGGAAGGAGGTGAGAGGATGACGAGCAGGAGGAGGAGGAGGAGGAGGTAAGAGGAGGAGGAGGAGGAGGAGGAGGAGGTGAGAGCGAGGGAGGAGGAGGAAAAGGAGGAGGAGGAGGAGGGGGAGGAAGAGGATGAGGATGTGAGAGGAGGAGGGGGGAGGTGAAGGGTGAGGGGGAGGAGGAGGAGGAGGAGCTGAGGAGGAGGAGGGCCAGCGACGACGCCGATGATGACAGGTAACCAGGTAACCAGGACGATCGATGGTGATGTTGACGGTGGTGGTGATGACGATGGTGGTGTACTGTGACGCGTTGTTGAGATCGATTGTGCTCGTTAATGCTGCACTGGCGGCGGCGAGCGATGGAGCGATGATGAAGATGAACGTGAGATGGGCTCGTTGCTCGCACCATCGCGACCTGACATCAGGCCTCCTCGGGCCCTTCAGGGCACTTCAGGCCGACCTACCGCGCGCCGAGCCGCGCTCCCGGGCTCTCCCGAGGCGGCCCGAGGCGGCCTCGAGGCGACAGCGCGGCGACAGCGACAGCCCGCGCCACGCGCGGGTTACCCAAACGCGCGGCGAGCTGGCTCGGCCGTCGGGCCGTCTGCTCGGCGCAGAGATCTCATCCGAAAATACATCACAAAAACATGCAATCCCATCGAGTCGCTGGCGAGCGAGGCTGTTGTGTTGTTGTGCGTGCGTGTGCGTCGTGCGCGCGTGTCCTGAGAAGTCAAGGCGGGACGAGTATAGATAGCACATGGCATGTGGCCGACCCGACTCGTCATGTCCGCCGAGCCGGCACGCGGACAGCGGAACGGAGGGCAGGATCTGCCACAGGCTCGGCGACGTGCAAACAAGTTAATTACATCTGATGGCATGGACGTCGCCCAACCCACGAGCGCCAGATCGCGCGCCAATCAGAGGACACTGACTGAGAAAACGCAGAGGTGGAGGAAGACAAGGAGGGGGAGGAGGAAGAGGAGGAGGGTGAGGAGGAGGAAGAGGAGGAGGAGGAGGAGGAGGAGGAGGAGGAGGAGGAGGAGGAGGGATGAGGCTGAGGCGTTGGAGGTGAAATTTGATGGGAGGGGGTGGGCTCTGAGAGGAGTAAAGGGACAGAAGGGCCTTCGGACCTTCGGAGGACCTGAGTAGGCACTGCGCCACCGTCTTGGAAGGCCTCCCGCCTCGGCCGCCTCGACTCCCATCCCACCATCTTCCTCCTCGTAGTTCTCTTCCACTCTTCTACCTCGTCCTAGTCCTCCTCGTCCTCCTCCTCCTCGTCGTCCTCCTCCTATCCTATCCCCCTCCCTCCTCTAGCCGAGGGCCGATAGCCTATCGCAAGAGGTGCTTGCCCACGGCGGCCCCCCTGCTCTTGGCCTTAGCCTTGGGCTTCGGCGCGGGGGGCGCTCCGCCAGCCTTCTGCGCTGCGATGGCGCCCAAACGCTCCTGGATAGCTTTCGCAGAAGGCCCAGAGCACACTGCGGCAGCGCCACTGAGGTCTGCTGCTGCAGCAGACCGCTTGGCGCCAGTCTGGCGCCCCTTGGTCGCAGCAACGAACCGCTTCAAAACAAAAGGCGCTCCGGGCGTCGCTGTCGCCCCCACCCGCGCGGCCAATGGCGTGAGGTGGGGCACCGTCATGTCGATGCGGAGCGAGTCCGCAACGTCGCGGGCGCACGGGCACAGCGAGAGCGCGTCCAGGTACACGACCTTGTGGGTGTAGGTCAACTCCACGTTCGCCTCTGCCTCCTTGGGCGTGGTGCCGACCATCCAGGCTGGGACGGGGCATTCCGACGTGATCTTAGAGTGCGCATCCCCGTGCAACCACATGTCAGAGCCGAGGGCGGTGGCAAGCTTGAAACTCTTCTTGGTCGGCGGCGACTGCCAGAGCTGCACGCTTCCAGCAAACGCAAGTTTCAACTTCGCCGTGATCTCGAGCGCAACTGGCTCACCACCCTTCTTGGACAAGTCAATGGCGACGGCCTCGGCGAAACAGCTCGGGTCGACCATGTCCCAAACGATCTTCTCGAGGGCGCGCTGGACGCGCCCCAGATAGCACGCGCCCACGCTAACCTGATCAATGAAAGACAACAGCGAAGGCGAAGGTATGAGCAGGACTCCTACTCATACCTTCGCCTTCGCCTCATACCCATCCTTGGCTTCCCCTTTTCTTCTCCCACCGCTCCTGCCGCTCCTACTCAGTAGGAGCGGTGGGAGAAGAAAAGGTGAAGATAAGGATGTATAATGAAGGAGCCTCCATGCCGCCCTCCTTGAGGATGGGGGCGTCGGCGAGCTCGTAGATGTCTGCGAGCGTCATGATGGGAGTGGGCAGCGCCGCAACCTGGGACTCCTGCGCTGCGGCGGCCACTACAGCGCTGGCAGACTGAGGCTCCTGAGTCTGCGAAGAAGCCTGCGTGTCCGACGACGGCGTGGCGATCGGCGTCCTCGAGGGCTTGTGGCGGGTCCTCAGGTCCGCCATGACCGCGGCGTAGTTGTCGGTGGAGGCCTCTGCGAGCTTCCCGATGGCATCGACCCAGAATCTCACCCATGCGTCCTCGGAGTCCTGGCAGGCATCGATATCACAAAGAGCGACAGCTACAGTCTGGATGTTCATGCTGGCGAGGGCGGTCTTCATGCAGACGTCGCACGGCTTTGCCATGAATGCTGGTGGCCCGCACGTCGATGCCACCACTGCGAGCACGTACTCGCCACGCATGTGGCTTGCATCGACGGCCTTCTTGAAGTTGGCGAAGACGCTGGTGATGACTGAAGGCACGTCGCCGCTGTGTTCTGCAGCCGCAACCACTGTGTCCGCTGCGGCATTGATCCACTCGGGGTCGACGTGCTTCTTCACTGCCGCCCAGATATACGCCATGAGCTGAGGCAGCTGCAGTGGCAGCCCCGTTCCGTCCTCCCTCGGACGAGGCAGCTCGGAGCACAAGTCCTGGACGATCCTCATGTACGCAACGTGCATGGGGAGCGGGACGCCAGGGGGGTTATTGGCCAAGAACGCCTTCAGCCCGTCAACCATGGCGGGCTCATCCATGAAGATAGCAATCCTACTCGAAGACTCGTTCAATGACTCCTTCTCGTCATCATCCAAGGAGGTCCCGCTCATGATGCGCTCGATCACAGCCGCCGCTTGGTCACGACCGCTGACGCCCGAGTTGCCAGCCGGCGGGGCGTTCAAGAACGCATCGACAATCAGGCGCTGCAGCTGGGGTCGCACTCTGCTCCAGCTCGTGTAGGTCTTGTTGTTGAGCGTCAGCGTGGCTGCAAAACAGAATTCCAATGATAACGACGCGACCTTGCGGATCAGAGCTGTCTGGCTGGTGGAGAGAAGCTTGTCGGTGACACCGAAGGCGTCGACGATGCGAATGCTGTGCTCGATCAGGCGCCACACGTCGTCAGCGAAGCACGCGAGCTGCGGTTCCGAACCAGCTGTCAAGGTGGTCAAGGTGTCGAACTGTTCCTGTGGCACCGTCAGGTCTGGAAACGTCTTCAGGAGCTTCCCCTTCAGCTCGAACTGCGGCTTCTTCGTATACACCTTGCTCTCGGCCATCGGAGTGAGAATGTACCACGCCGCCTCGACGTCGAACTTGTCGAAGATCCAAGGAGGAGTGCCGTCTCCAGTGTCGCCGAGAGGGACACAGAACTTCAAGGTCTCAAACACCGTCGTCTTGAGCTGTGTCGCTGTCAAGCCCCCCTCCAAGTTGCCGCCGGCCAACAGGGTCGAGATGCCGTGCAACACCTTGACGCAGACCTCCGTGCTGAAACGCTCACTGAGGAAGTTGCATTTCGCCTGGCAGAACTGGATGAACTCGTCCTTGAGCCCGAACTTGTTAAGATTGTGCTCGAAGATCTTGGCGGCGTCGAAGACCTGAAACGTGGTGAACTTCCCGCCGAAGTTCATGGATATCCAGCGCCAGTACGACTGCTCGTAGGTCAGCTTCTTGGTCTCCATGATGTTGGTATCTTTATTCTTGATCTGAACCGTCTCACCCATGCGGGAGGCCACGCCTCTCTGATTCTTGTAGACGAGCCATTTCGCCTCGATATCAGGCGTCTCACTGATCATCTCACAGAAGGAATATCGAGCACCTTTGTGGAACTCGTTGTGGTACTGCATCAACCACAGCAAGACGACAACGGGCGTGTTGCGAACGAAGATGGTGCAGTCCGTCAAGCCAGTGCGCAGCGCAAGCTGAATGTACTCGTTCTTGTCGTGGATGGTCTCCTCCACTGCCCTGTAGAAGGCGCGCGACCTGGGCTGATACGGTCGTGATAAGTTAAAACCACCTCACCTCAGCCTCACACCCGCGCTAAACAAAACTACCCCCTGGAGCCCCCTGGAGTCCTGGAGTCAACCCATCCTGGAGTCCTGGAGTCCTGGAGTCCACTTATCCTCCTCATCATCCCCTCCTTCCCTCCGCCCCCCCTCCTCGCCCTCCCCGTCTGGGAAGAGAAAGGCTTTTGATTAACGCCAGCCGTGGGGTCGGCCTGGCTCCTCATCGCCCTCATCCCTCTGGCGTCCTTCTTCCTCTCTCTATCTCCTGCTCATCCTCCTCCTACCTACTACCTACCCCGCCTCATATCATCTTATCCTCGGCATTTGTTCCATCCAACCTGGTGCCCCACGTGATGGCCCTGAGCGGGTAGCCGGTGGGCGTGTTCGACTTCACCAGCCACGCGGAGCCCGAGACTCCGCGCACGACGCCCTTGGTCTTGAACCCAGTGCAGTACTCTAGCTCAACCTGCATGTGGCGCCGCGTGTTCAGCTCGCGCGTGACAATGGAGCGGTCCTCGCCTGTGAACCATGGACCATGGAACAGTCGTCTGCGTCGCACAACTGTAGAGGCTCAGGCAACGTTCGAGCCGCACCGCCCCATCGTTCTCACCGACGAGGTCAACGATGCTGATCGTCGGGTCGTTGCCGTACAGGATTGCCGCCGCCGTCGTTGCATCTGCTGGGCGCGCCGCCGCGCCGCTGCCAGCTGACCCGTCGCTGAAGCCGCCGACGCTGCCAAGGCTGGGCGCGCGGGATGGCGACGCCACCGGCCTGGCGGCAGCAGCGGCGGCCTCGGAGGCCATAGCAGCGCACCGGCTCTCTCGAAAGGGCGAGGCCACACGGGGCGAGGAGGGCGCCCGGGCACGAGCCAGCAATCGAATGGGAAACCAAAATGGCTGCAGGACCGCTGCAGTCGGTCAGTCGCAGCAGGCAGGAAGCGACGCGAAGGGATATGCAGTTATGCAGGGGAGCCAGGGAGCGGGGAGATAGGAGAGGCATCGTAGGAATGAATGGCATAGTACAGGAAGGAAGGAGGAAATTCAAAAGGAGGGAAAGAAGGATGGAGAATGATGGACAGGAATTAAGAAAGGTGGAGGCACGAGCATAGCACTGTTAAGTTAAGTAGGAATACGGGGCCAGAGAGTTCTAGAGGTCAGAATGCATTTAGGGAGCCGCGCATGGGGGAATGAGATTTGTCCTGGGCGAGGTCATGCGCACGTTGTTGGGGGGTCGCCACACGTTCTTGGATCCGAACAGCTGGGCACGAATAGGAAGGGCGGCTTCTACTACTTTGGCAACATCTGTTACTTCTACTGCTAAGTACGTATCGTATTCCTGCTACTGCTACTACTACTACTTCTACTTCTACTTCTACTTCTACTACTAGTACAGCTACAACTAATACAACTGAAACTGCAACATCACCAACTCCTCCTCATCCTCCTCCTCCTCCTCCTCCTACTACCTTACTACTACCACTGCTCCGACAAGGCGGAGGAGGGGGGGGACACGCATCCCTCCCCTCCTCCTTCTAGGTCACTCTCCTCATTATCCTCATGGTTGTCCCTCCTCATCTCCTTCATCCTTCTTCTCCTCCTCCTCCTCCTCCTCCTCCTCCCCCTCCTCCTCATCATCCTCCTCCTCTCCTCCTCCTCCTCCTCCTCCTTCTCCTCCTCCCCCCCCCTCCTCCTCCTCTTGGCACTGGCACCTCTTTAACCAAGGCCGCCTTCCGCATCGCCACGTCCGCGCCCCCTCCTCTGCCCCCCTCCCTCCCCCCTCATCCCTCCGGACTCGTCCACCTAGGCCCCTCGCGCCTCCTCTGGCAAGGCGCGGCGCGCGGGCGCCGCGAGCCTTCCCGGCCGCCGGCCCGCCGGCTGGCGCCGGCGCCGCCGCCAGCAGCAGCTGCGCTGCAGCAGCAGCCCGCCCGCGGGCGCCAGCGGCGCCAGGGGCGCCCTGGCGGCGCCGCGCAGGGGGAGGGGGAGGACAGGGCAAGGACGAGGAGGAGGAGGAGGAGGAGGAGGAGGAGGAAGAGGAGGAGGAGAGGGGGAGGAGGAGGAGGAGGAGGAGGAGGAGGAGGAGGAGGAGGAGGAGGAGGGGGAGGAGGAGGAGGAGGAGGAGGAATTCGTGGAGCAAACAGGTTTGCCCCATGGGCCCCAGGAGTGAGGAGGAGGCGGGGGTGAGGAGGAGGAGGCGGGGGGAAGGGTTGCGGGATTCCACTGGCCTCGTCAAGTCGGAATTCCAAGGATGTCTGCGCTGTTTGGGTACTTATGTGTGTTGCCAGGGCCCCACAATACACGTAGAAGGAGAGAGTTAGTAGAGAGCTGATAGGTCGAAGGTCGATTCAGTTCGATTGGCCATGGGGCAGAGGAGGAGAAGAGGTGGAGGAGGAGGGGGAGTCGTGGGGATGGATGCTCTCTCCTCACTGGTGTTCTTCTCTCCCCTCGTTGCAGCATGATGGTGGATGTTTTTGTTACCCTGCGGCTGTAGCAGCTCACCCATGCGCCTGCGGCGTGTTTTCACACGCAAGGGCCGTGAGCCAAACTGGACAAATTGCCCAGCGCACATCATCCCGCCTGCCTGCCCATCCCGCATCCACTCATCCACTACTACCCAACTACTAACTACCTAACTACCTACCTACCCGCCGCCCCATAGCGGCCACGCTTCCCCGGACGAGCCGTTCAGAGCAGAGCTAGCAGACTGCTGAGCGACAAATCATCCTCATGCGGCACATCGTCTCAAACTCGGGCGTGACAGGCATTAGCAGCGCATGCATGAGAACCCCTCCTACAACTGCAGCGTTCATCGCGTTCCCACTTTGCGCTTTCATTGCGTCGCGCATCCGGCCGTGGCGAACGAAGTTAAAGGAGCAACAGGTGCGCGGCGCGCACTCGCAAGGGAAAACTGGAAAGCCTTGGCTCGCAAGCACCTCTGTGGGAGTCAGCCAACGAAAATGGCACCACGTTATCCCAGCTCGTTTCAGGATCGCGTGCACACCGCCGTCGTCTCTGTTATGCGAGCCAAACCCGCTCAAGGGGTTCTGATTCAACTGGTATGACCCACCAGCGCCGTACTCAGCCTCGTAGCCCTCGAGCCACCTCTTCTCGGTTGCGCTGAGGGCGCGCCTGAAAGCGCCAGCCATTCCTGGCGTGAGGCGATCTGTATCTCCAGCGGCTGCACGTTCCGCCTGCACAGATGGCCGCGAAGTCGCCCAGTCCAGCTCGTCCTGGAGCTCGGCGTCGTCGGCGAACAAGAACGCGTGGAAGTCGACGCGGCACGGGCGGTGCAATCGCAGCAGTGGCACGACGGGCGGCATCGTGAAACTCTTGTGCCGCATCACTGTGCATCTACGAACCCTGTGCGCCGGCCACCCGAAGTCGAAGGCATCGCCCACGAAGTCCGAATCGATCTCATAGAGGTCGCCTAGAAGAACACGGCGGAGCGTCACATCGAATCCCCTAACATTTTCTTGAACAACAATTGCCTCCTGGAGCTTGCGCCTAAGCGCGCGCCAACACAATGTGTCCACGATCGTCTTACCACGCGCTCCATCGCCGTCGCCATACTGACTCCAGTCAGGACAAGGTGTCCCAGCCACGTGCACAAACGCTGTCTTGAGGAAGCACATGCGTGTGTGCGTCAAGCACCTACCCTTGATGCGCACCGATCGCCCCGATAGTATTGCTTCCTGGAGCTGCTCAACTGCATCGCCCGACCGGTCGCGAAGGGCCTCGATTGTGGGCTGAAGCTCTGGGACCCAAAAGTTGGATATGTCGCCGAAGTGGCACGAATCACTCAGCGTCGACATGGGGTGATGCCGAAGTTCGGCGAGAGCGTGTGTATCCCACTCGATGCAATGCAATAGGCGGGGCAGTGATACGTCGGCTCCGTGTTGAGCGCGCAACTCAGCCACTAGCATCATGATTGAGGTCTCTGGCGTGCCAACGCCACTGAAGGAAGTAGAAATCGTCGCGTATGATAAGCGGTCGATGAAGGTAGCAGCGTTGGGCAACGTGCCCAGCCAGTCGGCCGGCCACCCATGCGCCTCACAGAGGTTCTTCACCGAACGGTTGCGGCACCTGACGCCAGATCGCCCGCACGGGCGCGGCAGAGGCGGCGGAGGAGGTTCTGCCACGGCGGGCGTCCTTGACGCACTCGCCGAAGTCGACGTTGCAGAAGCACCGTCCACCACCACCTGCGATCGCGGCCCCCGCGAGCCATCGCCAGCGGGCAGAGGGGCGCTGGCGGCGCTGCGCGCCGGCGCCGCAGCCGCGGCCGCGGCCAAAGTTGGCGCCGCAGGCTGCGGCGGCAGCGATGGCGGCGGCGGCGGCCCCAGCTCTGCCACGGCACCTGGCGGCGGCGCGGCGGCATCCGTCTCGCCCGCGAGCTCCAGCGGCAACGCGTGCTCTGCGACCACCTCGCTCGCGACCAGTGGCGCTGGCGGCGCGGGCTGCGGCAGCATCTCCGGCGATGGGCACAGCTCCTCCACCGCGGCACCTGGCGGCAGCGCGGCCACGTCCGTCTCGCCCGTGAGCTCCAGCTGCTCCGCGACCATCTCGCTGGCGGCCAAGGCCGTCGGCGTCGCAGGCTGCGGCGGCGGCGCCGGCGATGCGCCCAGCTCATCCTCCACCACAGCATCTGGCGGCGGCGCGGCGACGTCCATATCGCCCTCGAGCTCCAGCTGCTCCGCAACAATCCCGCTCGCGGCCAGTGGTACAGGCGGCGCGGGCTGCGGCGATGGCGGTGGCAGCGAGCCCCGCTCTGCCGCGGCGCATGGCACAACTGCAGGTGCAACGCCCTCGTCGCGTGCGGTGGCGGCGGCTGACGCAGCTGCAGCGGGCGCGGCAGTTGCCGGCTCGGCGCAGCCGTCCGTCGGCATGGCTGCGTCGCATCCAGCCGAAGCGCCACTGTCAGCAACAGGGGCGCGAGCAGCACCGAGCACGTCTGTCAAAGTGCGCTGGTTGTTAAGCAACCGTGCCTGGCCAATCAGCGTGACAACGCCAGGCTGCTGTGATACATCTGATGGCAACGGTACTAGTTGAGATATTTTCACGCCGTCGATGCGCACGATGTCTTCTAAGTGCCAATACCACCACGAGGCACCAGGGTAATCTGACATCACGGCGGTCAATTCTCGCACATTGGACAAGTGGTGCGAGCTGAAGCAGTCCAACGTGGCAGGGTCGAATGGTGAAGAGCCTGTCACTGAGCAGCGGAGGACGACGGATACTGACATACCAGTGCCAGTGGCGCGTGGCGTTGCCAGGAACACTTCGTTCTCATGATAATCGCCGAGCGCGTTGGTGTCATCTGGGACGTCGCACGGGAAGGGCAGCCACAGGTCGTCAAGTTTGTTGACCTTAGCCCGCAATAACAAAGCGTCGATGTGTGACAGCGACCCTGCACACACTACCAAGCGAACGGTACGCCCTGTGTCGGACCTAAGAGCACATGAGAGCGGCGTCAAGGGCAGCCATTCTGGCGGCTTAA